AAAAAAAAAAAAAAAAAAAAAAAAAAAAAAAAAAAAAAAAAAAAAAAAAAAAAAAAAAAAAAATAAAAAAAAAAAAATAAAAAAAAAAATAAAAAAAAATCAATATACAGAAACACTAATGTAATTAAATTAAAAAATATTTTATTGTTAATTTATTTCTTCTATTTTTTGTAAAAAGCCTATGCAACTCCAAAAATGTTCAACTGCAGTCACATTAACACAAATTCTATATAATTGACAAGCAACTAATCCTAATTTAACTGTTAAATCTTTCGCATAACTTCAGTACTTCCAAATATCACCAAATTGATTGTAAGTATTATCATTATATAGATAAATTCCTGTAAAAAAATTGATGAATTCATATAAAATATATGTAGATTCTTCACCTGACTAAGTCTTATAATAATAAATTAGATATTTACCTAATTTCAAATAATTGATTATTAATTTATTCTTAAAATAAGTTATTTGATATTTAGGATGCAATAAGCAAGCTAAAATTAAAAGAGGTTGTTCCCAATTGTTCTTTCTTTTGTCTAACCTGTTCAAAATTTTTTTAGCAAGGTGCAAGTTCATATGATTGCTCCAAAATTGAACCAAATATGTGAGACTGTGTATAACATGGATTAATCTTGCACTATTAGATTGCAAAATATTTAATATTTTGTAATATGGATATAAAATTTCTGCAATTACTGTTAAATTCGACCAAAACGAATCCAGGGTAATGATAACAAAGATTTCTTGATGAATTGTTAAGTTATCTCCAGTTTGTCAGCTTTAAGCATGTGATAGTTAATAATTAATTGCAAGAATCTAAAATATAAAAATTAATTAATAATAAGCTTTAGTAAAACCCTAACTATAAGCCTAAAAGATCATAATCCTGACAACATCATTCCCAAATAAAAGATAAAAAGAAAATGCTTTTATTAAATAAGTAACCTATCGAATAGTTAATTTTGTTTTTGTCAAAAATTTTAATTGTTAATATTTGCTAATTCAAAATTAATTTATTTATTTATTCAGGATTTGTTATAGATTACTATATTGTTATATTATCTTAAATAATTCCAAGAGATGTTATTTTGGAATACATAATTTAAAAAAAGCCAAGAATTAATTTAATTAAAAAATTTTAAAAAATAATTATTGTTCGCATTCTATTTAATTAGTTCTTAGCTTTCTTCAAATTATATATCTCAAAATACACCTTTAGGCATTATTTGAGATAATACAGTATAACCTTTCTAATTCTTATAGTTGGAATTTTAACATGCCAATTATTTATTTTTCTGTAATGCTTTTTTAGTTCACAAGAGACTAGTTACTGCTAAATAATAGCTATTCCAACAGGTCTCTTCTGGAATAGCTATTTTATAATACCTTTTATAAGTAATTTTCTGTTGGTCACATAATTTGGCGATGAAGTATTTATTTCTTGTGTTTTTAAAATAAGTGCCTAATTTAATTGCCTGGTCCATTGTAATTTTTAGGTTTGTAGATGCTTTGAATACTTCACTTACATACAAGTTTAGCTAGTGTGCATAGTATGATAAGAATACAATGTTTCTATGAATAAGTTTTAATCTTCGCTTAACAAATTTATTAATAAAAAATTAATTGGAATAGGTAAAAAATTAAACTAATATAGAGTTATGGAGTTTCAAAATTAGCAAAAAATTGTACATTTTACAAACCAGATTTTTCAAATAGTAATTGTTATATATTGAATTATAAATTGAAAAAATAAAATAAGATTTTAATTTTCAAATCCCAATGTGGCAAATTAAAATCAAATCAAAATGAAATTTTCCTATTTAATTAAAAAATTGTACATCATAGTAAAATTTTTTATAAGAGTTAAATAAAACTTTCCCAAATTTCATTTTAATATTATTTCGTTATAGTCTACAACAAATAATATCTAGATGTCACAAATTGTCTAGCATTATCTGTAACTATAGTGAAAACCTTTATGTTTATGTTTTTTAGTTCATTGATCATTGTATTAGTTTTTTCCATAATTTTAGCATATGATTCTCTCTCTAAACTAATATCTGTTGCTTTCTATACATAGGGTTTCTCCTCAGAAGTAATAATTATTACTCCTAGTAGTTGTTTGTTTTTTATATTGGTCCATCTGTCAAATGTTAAAGTAACTCCTGTTTGATCTTTATGAAGTGCATTATGCATTGTTTTATTCTCTTTAGCAACAGCAACCTCTAAAACTTTTCTACTAAGAGCCTGACAGTCTGGAAGTTTAAGGTAAGAATTTAAAAATTCAAATAGCATTTTAGCCTCTGGCTTATTGATCTAATGGAAGGCCCACTCACAAGATACTGTTAATCTTAACAAGAAAACTTTGAATTTTCATTATCTTGCTAAGACAACTCTTTAGCAATATAGTTGTCAATTAGTCTATATGTAGAGGATTGTATAACCTTACAGGGTAGTTATAAGGATGTGGTTGTGACATTATAAGATGAGCTGAAAGAAACTATTAAATAAGTATATATGTATTAAAATTTAATTAAATTCACTAGAAGTGAAATTCACAACAATGTTTTCAATTATTATTATATATTTATAAAAAATTTTATCTTAGATGTTAATTAAAATTAAACTTTAGAGTTAGGGTTTAAGACTTAAATTAAGATAAAGGTTTTTTAGATGCTAAACATTTTTACTTAATATACCAAATGTCAGTTATCAAATCCATTTTTGAGAAACAGCATATCTGGTAAATGTTACTTCTGATAAGCATTAAAATTGTTCTATATATTTTTATATACTAAAACAAAATAAATATTATGTTCTTACTTGGTTATTTTTTTTGATTATCAGATAAACCAAAAATTTCTTTTCTCTGTTCTGATGTTATTTTTCCAATAAAATAATTACATTTTTTGAGATGTTGGACTATTCTGTCAGTTTTGTTAAAGAAAAAGGTTTTTTTTTCTTCATCCTCATCCAATTCTTCAATGCATGCTTTGCAGTAAAATTTATAATTTCAATTGTTAAGTTTTTCTTTAGTTTTGTTTATATGCTCATCTAACAATGTTAATAATAGCATTTTACTGATTAGTTGGAACAAGTTCATGATTTGGAATATGAGTAAGCAAATATTTATTTATTGATTAGTTGAAGCAAGTTCACGATTTGAAATATGAAAAAGCAAATATTTGTTTATAAATTTCAGAAGTTATATTTATTTTACTTAATGCATTTAATTTTGCTTAATGTGAATTTGGATTAATTCTTTTTTATTTTTTTTTTATTTTATTAAATTTGAGAACAATATCAGTGTTTATCATAATGTTGATGTAGGTAAACTTTTAATGCTTTAACTAATAATTCTTAAAACTTTATTACTTAGGCATTCTAGTATTTTAAGATACTACATATGCATATTTGTCTATAGACTTTTTTACATGCTACTTATTCATTTATTCTTACAATATTAGTACTTAGCACAATTAAGCAAAAACTTGACAGTCAAATACTTTATTAAGTTAGATACTAAACTATCAGATCAAATCAATTTACTGTACATAACTGAATTGACCTATATTGTTTGATATCTGACTTAATTAAATATTTGAGTGTCAAATTTTTGCTTAATTATGTCAAGCACTATTGCCTATATTATAGACAAAGGAATAAGCACAAACAGAAAAAGTATTGATAAAATATTTTAGTATAATTATTTAAGATACTGCACTTTTATCTTCTTTATAGATCCTTCATATGCATTTTACAAAATATTAATTGCACTAGGAATAAGGATATATACTCAAACATTTTAGCTAATGTACTACTAATGATCCTATTAATAATTTTAAACTTTTTAACAAAATTATATAAGTATGTGAGAGTAAAAACCTGGAAACAGATTTAATGATTTATTATGATTGATTGCAGATTTTTACTCTCATGCACTTATATAGACTTATCTATATATTATACACAATATATATATATCAAGGCATGTATTTATGTACTTGCTTATAATCTATGCAAGACATATTTAAATATTTATTCACAGAACTATTGAATATACAAATATATATGCAATTTCAAAAGAAAATTTGATGATAATCATTTATCATTTATTGTTATAGTCAAACCTTCCTAAATGCAAGTTGTAGAAACCAAACTTCTGATAGCTTATATTTATAGGAGTCTAGCATATATTTGGACTGAAGATAAAGTTGTACTTAAAGAGGTGTTATATTTAGAGGTTGTATTTAAATAGTGGGTTTATGTTTTTAAATAGAGGCTTTCAATTTTTAGCTTCAGTTATGATATTATACATTTGGGGATTTTTTTTTTAGCACAAGAGTTTTTATCTTAATACTGTAATAATAGCAATTAGCTAAAGGAATTATATATAGTAACTAAGTATGTATATATCTTCAATTATATTAAAAACATTCCCTTTTAGATCAATTAATCAGGTAACTAATTTATATGTTTAAAGCATCTTTAAGATAATTTTAAATAGCATTTATGTTCATTATGTAAATGAGCATTGCTAAGCAAAAACTAGAAATTCTTAAATTTCGAATACAGAACTTGATTTTAAATTTTATATGCTTGTATTATATAAGGTAAAATACCTGAAAATTAAGAATTCCTAGTTTCTTTTAGCAAGTTCTTAAATATTTTACATATTCTTGTCAAATAGTAGATTTTTTTTTTATTTTGTAAATTTGGTTTGCAAGTATCTATAAGTAAAAAATAACCTTTTTATGGTCTTATTAATAAACCAAAATTGTAAACTTTCAAAAGAATATTTTATTTGATTTTTATAAAACATTTTACAGTTTAATATCTAATAATTCTAAAACCTAAGCATATACATATTTGTTCAAATAGTAAAGTAGTAAAAATAAATACAAGTGACATTTTTAAATAATGGTAGAAATTATTGTATTAAAAAGATAGTTGACAGTTTTGCTAAAGAACAGATAGTAGATTGAAGTACATATATTATTTAATTATATAACATTTTACAAAATTAGACACATTTGTGGATGCAGACATAGACATGTCTGTGGACATTGTATGGTGTCTGCCATGTATCACATAGACAGGTCCAATGACAATCTGTATGTAATAACATGCTGCGGACATAGACATTAAACAATGTTCACATTTGTCCATATTGTAATATGGTTGCTTAACCTAACTAGATTCTAAATATTTGTTTAATAAATATGTCGTCGCCAGTCAAATCAA